TGTGCACAAGATGCTTGTTTAGGGCATAAAACAGGATTTCTGTTCCTTTTTTTTAATCCTCTCTATGAAAGAGTGTAGTGTGGACTTGACTAGCTTTAAAGAAGAAAAAGCTTCCCTTTAGGAACACGAAGGTAGATTTTTCTTCAAAATGGTTAAATGCTTTTAATTGTGGCTTAGTGGGTGAAAGGAGTGCACTTCTGAGAAGTGATTTTGGGGGCAGAATTGACATTTTTCTACCCCATATGAGTTTTTTTCAAAATCAGATCTGCTTGCTTTGATTTGAATATTCTTAATACTTACTCGGCCTGCAGAACTAGAGCACAGTATGCAATAGCAAACTTGAATTCTGTTCACAGTATGCAATAGCAAACTTGAATTCTGTTCTTTCTTACATATCAGCAGCAGGGTGATACACTTCCCACCAGTCACTGGGAAGTATAACCATAGCTGTTGTTACTGTGACAGTTTTGTAGAAGTTTCTTGGAGCCCATATCCCAGCATGAATATGTAGTGTACATCAGCAGTCCCCATACATGACTTCTGTAGCATCACTCTGGACAGCCATTCTTAGCCCTCTGCCTTATGCCTATTATTAAGCTGCCTCCCTACTCGGTATCTGTTTTTCTATCTCAATCCACCAATCAATACTCTTTATATGAAATCTTGAAGATGATATCTTGTACTTCCTGTTTATTGTTTCAACAGAGTTACTCTATTTTTTTTGCATATAGTGCATCCCAGAATAAGATAAACACCCTGTTCTTGAAAGGAAAAATGAAGAACTTAAAATATTTCCTTGTAGTAAGCAATTGAGTAATAGTAGTAGGGAGCCAAGACTGTTCATTGGTTTGCTCACTGTGGATTGAGCACGGAGTTACTTTTGGTTTTGCCTGGTAAGTGGCAGAAGCTGCTCTTACCATGTTTCTCACAAATATGCACTTCAATTTCCATCAGCTCTTTCTTTGTCATGGTGTGTTGTATGTGAGAAAATACAGTAGTTTGTTCCTTGGCTGATATCTCTTTGTATTACTTGGTTTGGATATGAATGATCTTGTCTTTGGCTGTGGGTTGGACTAGATCTCCAAAGGTCCCTTCCAGCCCTACTTTTCAGTGATTCTCTTGCAGCCCTCCAAGGAAGCCATCTTTTGCAACTGAAAGATCAACATCTCCAAGTTTCAGAAACTGGCGCATCATTTGGCCTCATTGCGCTGGTGACCTGCTTCTAGAAAAATGGTTATTGGGACTTCAGTTAATCAGAATGTGGATTCATCTGTGTTGTAGAAACCTGCCTTTTCCCCAGAGTCCAGAATTATTCTTTTTTAGATTGTGACAGTAGAATGTGTCTATGTGTATATTGCCAGATGCGAGAGGTGATCAAAGGATTTAAAGGATGACATAAAGAACATATACAGTACACAGGGATGTTTCAGTAAATCATTCTGCCAAGAAGTTACAGAGTTAGACCAGTGGGTTCTCTATGATTTTTACCTTTTGCATCCCTAAGAGCAGGAATTCATTGTATAATAATACTGTTCTTATTTCTGCTCCCAGCACTGACAGATATGCTTGGAAGATGGACATCTGTTCTGTCAAGTTGTCAGCTCTGTGCCCTCCATCCTAGCCAGAGGTGCCCTGAAAATTAGACTGAATACAGCCAATCTGAATCTAATACCACAGTAATTGACCATGTTGCCTTCACTTCTCTTATCTGAAGGAGATGTCAAAGATTGCCAAAGATTTTATGATGCAGGGTCTCATCATCAGGCAGGCACACCAGAACAGCTTGTCTTTAAGCCTGGAGATTTAAGGGTGGTAATTTCAGAAGTGCTTACTCTTGGCCTTATTCTGCTGCCATTGAAATCAGGGTGAAGTTTAGGCTAGTGCTAAGCACTTTAAAAGATCCCTGTATGTGAGGGTGAACTTTCTGGATTTCTGTCTACTACTCCCAGTAAATCTAAGGGAAATTGACTACAGAAAACAGCTCCTACAACTAAGATTTACTATCAGATGTTTTTGCACATGCAGCCTAATATGTGTTTTAAGGCACCAGTTGATACAAAAAAAAAAGGCTTTTTAAATTTGTAAGGGTGTGGCTTTTTATTTTCAATAATGTATGCTACCCTTTGAAGATTTGCCACCACCTCCAGGATACTGGAGGCTATAAAGTCCAGCAGAAAACTTTTACACAGCTAGAATAATATTTGTCCTTATGAAGGTTATGAAAAGCCTGAAACATCAAGACAAGCAGAGACGTGGGCTTTGTACTGTTGTCACTTGGGTTTAGTAATCAAGAGGAAAAATATCCTAATTCCATTACGGCAAAGAGCCAACTAGCTCCATGGTTGTTTCAGAAACAGCATCTTAAGATTTGTGACCAGGTTGTTGTTGCTCCTTTTAGTAAGTAATGTCTATCCTAACTGATCTTTTTTTCTATAATCAAATGAAACATAGTTTCCCCATTTAACTCTTGGCTCCTTAATTTTTGGAAGAAGTGGGAGACTAATAGCAAATTGAAGTGGTAAACTCTAAGTGATAAAGGTGACTGGTCAAAATATGAAAAAAAAATGTAAAGAACTCTGACAATAGTAGGTAAAATTAAGGAATCTGGCCACTTTCAGTGACAAAGGAGTTATGAAGGGGTAAAACACGTTGCAAAGGAAAAATGCTGCTGGATTTCAGGAAGAAGATTTGGCCTCAAGTATCCAATTCAGTTAAGACCCTTCATTGCATATCTATAATCAAGTATAATATTGAGCTGTTTTAAGAAGAGGGTAGAAAGCAAGCTGTGGCAGTGCACCTTTGGTACCTGCCACTTGAAGGGCAGAAAACGGGTAGCAGCCAGGTGCCTGATGAGGGCAGCCATTTTGGCCCAGTGATAAAAGCTGGGCTGCAGTTTGCTGCAGGAAGGAAGGAGGTAACATTAGGCTGACAGGCTGCTCTGGGAATATCAGGAGGTAAGGGCAGGGGCTATGAGGTGGAGGTGACCCCTCGTCCTGGGTAAGATGTAAAACTGCTGCACCCTGCCAGGAAAGAGTGGTCTGGTAGGGCTCCTAGTGGCATGGGAGCCCCCAGGAAATGCCAAGCCAGTTACCTTCCTGGTGAAAAGCGGGTTGGGGTGCCTTATAACCCCTGTCCCACATCCCTGGTGGTGTTGTAAAGAGCAGGGGAAGCTCAGAAGCAGAGCTCAGGCTGGCACAGAGACCTGGGGCCACGCCCAGGCGGTAAGGGAAAGCATGGGGGTGCAAGAGAGACCGTGAGTGAAAGGGGCGACGAGTAGTGAGACCCTTAGTGAGAGGGGCAATGAACAGAGCGGTCCTATGAGTGTGGATGAGTGAGGAGGCCCAGTGGCCCCGCGAGGGGCCAGGAGTGAAATGGGCCTATGGTTGTAGAATTGCAGTGTCAATGCTCAGGTGAGGGTAGCGCAAGACGCCCAACAGACTGTGCTGGGGCTGACCAAGGCAAGGAGAGCTAAGCTGGATGAGGCTGGGCAGGATGAGTGTGGCCCTGAGAGAGAGCAGTATGAAAGAGGCTGGGTTAGAGCCAGCGGAGCAAATGGGACCCTGGTGAGAGAGGGGTGGAATGTGAGCAGCCCTCCGGGGCGATAGAGAAGAGCTACGACTGTGCCCAGTTTGCTCTGGCCATAGGCCAGAGAAGTAACACCAGAGTAACATCTGTGAGGCATGGGACCCGTGGAGGGGAAGTCGGAGTGGGTATTAGGCCCTTGTCAGCAGGGCAAGTAAATGGGTAGCTTCCCACCTTAGTAACAACTCTCATGTTTTTCCATCAAGACATGGCAGGAAAGCGAAGCAGGCTGTTACCCCAGGAGCAGGGTGGCTGGTGGAGACCTGATGAGGAGGCCACCCTGTTACACAAGCCAATATATTTCATATGTTGTCGACTTCAATCCTATGTTCCTCTTCATTCCTCAGATTCTGGATTGTTTGACACCTGCTCTCTTTCTCTGTAGCAATTCTTGTTTCCTGACTGGAAGTGGACAAACTATTTGCTTCATCGATGCTGATTCTTGTCAATTATGTTTTAATCAGTATGATTAAATTCCCATTATCTTTGAGGTTTTTGCTAGAAAGCTATGTTAGATTTATGGAAATGTAAATACAATGCACTTATAGAAGATAGTTTCCCTCTTAGTGCAGCAACGTTTTTGGCTTCTGGTTCTTCTCTGCTTGGTCCCTAGCCATATGATATATTTCTACTAATACTTATTCTCTCATGCACATGGTCTTCAGTGCTGTTCTCAAAAGACTGTTAGTATAAATCATTTTAATAGTCTAACACAGGGATGCAGCATACATGCCACAAGTGATTGTGTAGCAGACCAGGAGGGGGCAGCCAGCACAGTGGCAGGTGTGGCAGAAAACAGAGCAACAGATTGGACAAAAAGCAGACCAGCCAACCAAGCTGGAGAAGGAGATTGGAGTGGCACTTGCGGTGGGTATAGGGTTAATTTGAGGCATACCAGCCAAAAAGGTGGTAACATTGTCCTAACATTAGGTCTGCTTTTGTTATGGGACTTACCCTAAATAGGGGGAGAAAGGCTAACATTATATTTGGTAGTCATTGCTAAATGAGGTGGGATGCAATTTGGCTAAAGATCAGTATAAATGGGTGTATAAGCCTGTTTAACATCAGCATAGCACTAATATATAAAATAGTGTCAATTGAAAGAGGTACCAAATTAAGCTGATATAAATAGGTGTACTACAAAAAACCGTAGAGAACAAAGAACAAATAAATTCCCAACCTTATTGGCTTCAGACAGAATTAAAAATCACCATTTACTTTGTCATTCACCTTGTTAGATTTTCAAGGAAAAGCTTTACCAGAAGAACCTTTGCTGCATCCCATGCTTTTGTTTTTAAAATTGTTACATTTTAGGAAATGTATAGGAAATAATATTTAGGAAATAATTTCACTATATAAGTGTAAAGGCATTTATTAACATTACTTACATTTAATCTATTGTTTGTTTGCTTACTTAGAAAAAGCAGAGAGAGCTGGCTAAGATGCGAAGATGTCTGAGACCAGAGGAGTTGACAAACCAATTGAACCAAATAGACCTAAATATGCAGCATGAACAGTTAGAGGAGAGCTTCCAACAGCTCGTTTCAGATTACCGAAGGGTGCTAGAACGACTTGCTCAAGCATGAGGATTCTACCTTTCTGTACAGGAAATTTGCAGATTTCTATACATTCTTGTGATGCAAATCCACAATCACTACTTAATTGCAAAATCTCATGTGACGTTTTAATCACAATAAAGGTGACTTGTGTTTTTCTGTGCATCTTGAGTATTTATTTTTGGTTATACATGTAAAATAATTGTACTTGGCTTTTGGGGTCACTTACTGCTTAAATAAACAATATAGATTCTGAGATATATTAATACTACACCCATTTGAGTTTTCTTTAGATTTTTTCAGATGTTCTGAGTTGCTGAAGTGAATAAGAGTGTACTATTAGAGTAGAGAATTGTCATTGACTTTAAAACTACCACACAGACCTCGGAGAGCTTCTCCAGCTGGGTGTTCACCAGGGCTGGCTGGGTCTCACCACAGCTGGCTCATGCTCTTAAGCTTTCCTTGGTGTAAGCAGACTGTAGCATGGCTCTGTCTGCTGCCTCTTGGTAGAAATGGGACCTCACAGCCCAGTTCCCTTAACATGAGGTTCAGTGCTGATTGCTGGTTTAAAGCACACCCTTTCCCAGAAGTCTAACCTTGAAGGCACTCTGGGCTTAGGGTGTACCTTGTCAGAGATATTTGATAAATGAAGCAAATTGAAAGATGTAAGGATTCTAAAAACCAGCTGCACTCTACTGTGACTTCCATTAGATAGATACAGAACTAGACAAAACAAATACCTCACCCACCTTGAGTCAGTCCTCTGAGGGATCCACCACCAGATGTCCCATTTCTTAAATATTCCCCATAAAGTTTAGATTTGATAAACTGATTTGTTGTGGGTCACAGCCATAGGGGTTTCCATGGAAATAGAGGACCATCAAGGTTTAATGGCCATCTTGTTTCTCCACCCTTTGGAATTTCAGTCCTAACAAAGAGGGAACAAATCCTACGTTCACAATGGAGTTTCAGTCCCTTATCAAGCAATTCATAAGCTGTACATAGAATCCCCAAATCATTACAAATCTAAATGTTACTTTGAACATGTCTTGTGAATACTTAAACGAGTTACTTACAGGAAATGTCTTCAAAATTCTATTTTGCTGGCATTCATAATGTCTCTTCCAGATACTCTTTGTCTATATGTTCCTCATAATATCTAAACATCCTAATTAAACAATGTAAGCATATCACTTTGTAAGAGTAAATTCAAATAGCAGTGCTTACTGAGGTAGGTTGTTGAGAAAGCAGGAAGAAAACTCAATGATGCAATACTGTTCTTGGGGAAGGAAAGAGAAGAGCAGTCTAGAATCCAGCAGCTTTGCTTTACCCCCTCCCCTTCCCACCTCCTTATGGGAATAATGGCGATGGATCTTCTGCCTTTCCCCTTGAACCGTATAATACTTGGAATGGATGTGGCAACAAGAGAAGGTAGAGACTTCCTGGAACTGCCCACTCAGCCTGGAAAGAGGTCTGTAGCAACTGCGCCTCAGGCCTTGGAAGGGAGCCAAAAGAACCCTTGAAGGAGCTGAGGTGTTAGAAAATTTGTAGAGGCTGGTGATAGTAGAAATAACACAGGGAGCAGGATTAATTAGGTTGGAAGGGAAGAGTTAATATCTAAGCCAAGACAGGCAGTTGGGGTAAGATCTGGAGTGCCAAGGGTAAAAATCACCTCTCTTGATAACTTCGTGAGAGTAGACTCGAGCTACCACTTACTGAGTCCGTCTTAGTTCCTACCGAATAGGCCTGTGTCACATAGAGGAAGCACTAGTTAATTTGCCACATATTGAGGATGGATTGTGGGGGATAAAAAGACAACCCCAAAAACTATATGATTTTTTTAAATGTTCATGATTGTGAGGTGTGCATTCATGACTCATTTCTTGAGATTGAAAATACTGATCTAGTAACACATGCAATCTTCAAAAAAATTCTAAAACCATAAATCATCAACTATTGATTTGTTCAGCTGTGGTTGTCGTGTGTCATGTGAGGCCATCACTTCTCATTTCACTGTTGTCAGGTTATTAAGCACTCCAAACTCTTTGTGAGTATAATTACATGAAGTCCTAAAACCAACTCCTATATCTCAGTTTAAGCAATTACCAATTTGCCTTTGACAGCTTCACTCTGAGACAGTTTGCCAGAACAACATTATTCTCACTGAAGCTGATAAAACACTCATTTAGTTGATACTATTAGACTACACTCAATACAGCTTTGTGACTTGTAGCTTCAGCAGTTACTTAAACACATTAAGGTTGTGGAACTGTGTACTTTATTTACAAATCAACTGTATACTACAATAATGTACACAGCTCATGTTACTTAAATAAACTGAGGTCTGATAGCATGAATTATCTTTCTCTGTAACTCTTTTCTTTTCTTGCCCTGTAGTGGTAGGCTTTTATGTATGCATTTCTTATTTAAATGAATATTCTCAGAGTGACATGGATGATATAGTTAGTAGGGGCATGTGGAACGGGCCCTATTCCATTTGGATTTGGAATCGGCCCGAATCGGGGACAGTGATCCGATTCATTGATTTGGATCGCTGTCCCTGATTCAATTCAGCCAAATCCAAATTTGAAGATTTGATGCTGATTCAGAGAATCAGCGATTCAGACATAGACACAGCTTTAAATGATTTTTCTACGTAACTCAAGGTACCAGATGCAGCTTGTGAACGCTGCAATGCTGGGGCAGATGGAGCGTCCCAGATGAGTGAACCTGGAGTTGACTGGAAGTCTGCTGGGGAGTGCACTGGAGGCTCCCCCCCGCACCCCCAGCTCAGCAATCAGCTGCAGGGTGGCCCTGGGTGCCCCCCTCAGACCCAGAAGGCACCAGTTGCTGAGCTGGGGGGCACGAGGGGGGGGCCTGTGCGCTCTCTGGCAGACCCGGAAGTGGATCAGAAGTGCTTCTGTTCCACTTCTAGGTCTGCTGCCGAGCGCACTGGGGAGCCCCCCTTGCACTCCTGTGGGACACTCCATGTGCCCCAGCATCACAGCATTCACGAGCTGCCTGCTACCTAGAGGTATGTAGAAAAAACACTTAAAGCTGCGTCTATGTCTGAATCACCAAACCTTTCCAAATCGATTCAGAAGCTTCCAATTTGATTCAGAGAGATTAAAGGGTCCTCTGATTCGATTCGATTCGGAGATTCAGCCACTGAATTGAATTGGGGACTGAAGCTTCACACAGCCCTAAAAGTTAGCACTAATATCAGGAGGCTTGATGGACTTGCTGTGATAATCATTTTAATAGATTTGCAATGAAATGGTCATAGGAGTCCCATTCTGTGGAGCTGCAAACTGGTACCCTAAGAGCACAGACATTCAGTAATCCCTTTTCATGTTTTATGCATTGTTTCTTTTGAAGGACAAAGAGAGAAAAAGGAAAAACTTACAATTTGTCCTTAGCAAAAGTATTTTAAACTAGGTGATTTAAGTTTCGATACTTGTCCTTTCCCATTCTTAACCAAAGTTAAATGTAAATTACTGATGGTGCTACAATACATATATTTAAATTCAAACAAATGTAATACATATATCCATTAAGATGATGCTGTGGTTCTACCAAATCACTATTAGTGAAAATTTTTCATAATACAAAAACATAAGGTTGGAAGGGGCTCCTGGCCCCTCAGTAACAAGTTGGATTTTTTGTTAATTCAACACTAATTTTTCATCCATTTTGACTTCAATCATTTTAAATGAAGACAAAGAACTAGATTCTATTCCACTTACACAATTAAATTGCCTAAGTCTGATTCTATTCCACCTTGTTTGAGTCCCTGAAAACTCATAAAGAAACCAGGTGGGTAGGTCCTCCTTCCTGCTTTTTTTTATAGTTCAAACAATGGTTAGATGGAAGTAAGTTACAAAAGTACACGTATGAATATATTTTTAGGCACATGAACAAGGTGGAACTGAATTTGGCCCCAAGTGAAACTTTGTACCTCATCTTGATATAGGATTTAGAGAAAATGTTGTTGCATTTGAAATGCCATAATAGAATTGTTAGCTTGTACAATATTGGTTGGGAAGTTAAGGAATTCATATGCACTTTAACAGATGCCATTAGGTACTAGTTTTTGCTCTCTATTGTGTCCTCTTTCATCACTAACTAAATACCTGCTACTTGCATAGGAAGTAAGCCAAGTACTACCAGTAAGTGAATCTAAACTAAGGAGAAAATGAAGAGAGACTGGAATAACTGAAAATAAAATGTTGCTTAACTCCATTCTTCAAATAGTGAAGCTATTATTCCAATTAATTAACTTTAGATATAGTTCTACCCTGAGAAGAAGCTGTCTAAAAATACCTTTTCATTCAACATTATCTAATCTTTGAATCAATTCAGAAGTACATCTGTTTGCTTGGTTACTACTAGAAGTGCACCAATATATCAGTTGCCTATTGGATCGGCACCGATACAAGGGAAGTTTACGTTAGCGGCTATCAGCTTTTTTTTGGCCATTGTAGCTGATAATGCTTACCAACTGATTATACTTTCTGGCCAGGGCCCTGGACACCTTGGTTCCCTCTCCCCCATGGGGCTGGGGGCCCTAGGTGCCTGGGTTCCCTTGGGGAAATTATGGGTTTCCCCTTGCAGGCAGGCAGCATTCTAGCCTGCAAGGGGTCCTGCGTGGGGCTGCTGGGAGCAAGATGCTCTGGGCTGCCACCCAGAAAACCTCGCCAGGAGTACAGCTGGGCAGCATGGAAAGCAGCGCCCTTCAGGTAAGTCTACTGAGGGGAAGGGGCATAGGGAAGGAAAGGAGTGGGGTGGGGTACAGATCAAGGCCCCCACGGTGAGGGAGGGAGTGGGGCTGGGACTGGGGGCACTGCCCAACCAGGGCAGTGCATGGGACCTGGGGCTGGGATGGGGAGTGGAATGGAGCCACAGCCGGCTCATCTAGGCCCCCCCACAAGGAGAGGCATGGGGTGGTCATGTGCCCCTCCTCCCAGCTAGATTTCTGTATGGGGCAGATGGCTGCTCACTGCAGACTCAGGGCTCTTCACTGCGCTGCCTTTACCCCAGAAGCCCTGTGCAGCTCGTGTGCCCCCTGCCCCCACCTGGTAGCAGTGGGGGCAGGCAGGGGGTGCACAGCCAACATGGGGCTTCTGGGGCAAAGGCAGCAGAGTGGAGAGCCCCAAGCCCACA